GTATTGGCGCATCCGACTAGGCATTTCCTTGGTCATCTTGATCAAGCCATCGATAGATTGACGAAGCTTTCTCGGTTGCACGCTTGTCCAAAGCATGTCCCTAAGGTCATTAAGGCTCTTCCAGATAGTTGACAGAGCGGCCCAGACAGACATGAAATCCTGGACCTCTTCCAGGATCGCAGGCAGAGAAGATTCAACGCCGGCCGGGAGATCAAGAGCCTCTTTCGCCTTCGAGACCATTTCATATTCTGACTGAAGAGATTCGAGTCGAGACTGGAACATGCTCAAAGTACGAGATGCTTCTTCGGGAGGAATGGTACCAGACACGGGCTTTTCCTCGTTCCACTGGCTGATGACTTCTGTAATCTTGTCGCTGATGACCTTGTCCTCTGCTGAGATCTTTGCGCGCAATCCTTCTGTTTGGTCCTGGACAATCTTGCTCTTTCGTGCAAGCAATTCGTTCAGCGCGGCCCATTCACCATCGACGTTTTCGACGTGAAGCCAATCACTAGGGAACTGATAGCGTTGTCGCGCGAGTGTGGCCTGGCCTTGCCGGAAGAGGTCAACCTCCGGTTCCCAAACCTTTGCCTTGCGCTTGCATTGCTGAACAATCGTGATGAATGAAACCGCATGGGCCGTGGAGGCAGCCTCCAGGGTCTGGCCTTCAAGATCGCGTCGGGCAGCGGCGATTTCAGAATGAACCTCTCTCATCCGGCCACCGAGCTTGGAGCCGAATCTAAGTAAGATCTCATGCTGCCACTGGTCATACTTTGCATTAACCCGTGTCTGAACCTGCTCGTAATCGATTTTGATATTTCCGAACGACTTGCTCACTTCCGAAGTGTCAAACGTAGCACGGCTCTTGCGAATCTCCTGGAGTAGCTGGAGCCACTGAGACAGATCGTCACCCAAGATGTCGTAGACTTGTTCGGACTGCAAGTCCCAGAGGGACTGGAACTGCAGCCACTTGTCGACATAGGCAGACACTTCACTCAACCTCGATTCGACTGCATTATAGACTTGACCCAGCTCGTTGGTACAGTGCTGTGGGAGAGTGGCGAAGCATGCTTCAGACAACTGGACCTTCTGTACGTCAATGGATATCTGATAACGGGACGATTTGATCTTCTCGAGGTTGCAGATCACACCAAGCCAGTTATCAAAGTGCGCGAACCAGCTCGCGCGAGCATATTGAAGCGGTGGGTCGAGATGAAGGAACTGGTTGCGCATGGAGATCTCGTGGGTGAGTTCTGGGAATTCGATGTTGTACGAGAGCGTCTCTCCTTCACCTGTCTGCACTCCGCTGGACGTTTGAAGGCTCTGCGAGCTGTAAGTTGCTTCCTGGAAGGAGTTGATCCATTCGCGAATAGCACGATGAAGACGTTCGCGCAAGATGCCCTCGATCTTCTGGTTCAAGTTGGCCACCCAATAACCAAGGTTAACATAGTTCTCAAGGTTCAGCTTATCGACGGCAACTTGGATGGCGTCCAGGCGCTGCCTAAATGCAGCCGCTTCATAAGGGCAAGTCTTGAGTTCATGGGTCGCCTTCTGGATGCTTTCGTTTATCGAAGCCAAAACAGCTGTCTTCGACTGGAGTACAGATGCCGACCCAGCGAACTCCCGAACGAACTGAACATGCTTGCTCTCGCCTCTGGTTGGGATGGCCGCGTCAATGGCTCCATTAGCCAATGCTGACTGCTTGACATGGAGTTCGTAGGAATGCACAAACGATTCCCAACGGAGGGGAACACCCTTTATGATCATACTTTGGGTGTCATTGACGTAGCCGTTCAGAAGAATGGCAACTTCAGTCATGGCCGCAATAGAGCGATTGGTCTGGAGCAAGGTTCTGACACTTTCCATCAAACTAATGGCGTACGGGTACACACGTTTGGCTTCCTTCGAGATGTTGCTCACCGCATGAGGTACCTGGAAGTTGAGCCAGATGAGGTTTCTGACCTCCTTAAAAAGAGCAATAATCTGCGCATCGAAATTGACGGTCAGCTCAAACGTGTTCCCTGCGGCTCGGTTACGAATGATGTTGAAGAGACGTCCCGAGATCGTGATATGCCGTCTTTGCACGTCATGTAGCCATGACTCGAAGACTGGTCGAGTATCCAACTTCTTCCGGAACAAATTGCTCTCGGCCAGAAGCTTTTGACCTTCGGAATGCAAGGCCCAATCCTCTCCAAGCACGTTCGCTACCTTGCCCATATAGCCATCCAACTGATGCTCAATCTGGCGTGCCCAGACAATAGCACCTGACACGGGGGGCAGATCTCGCAATTGCGCCATAGCATGTGCTTCAGAGTGGCCATACTGTTGCTTGAACCGCTCATGCAGCGAAGAAATGTCCTGCTTGACATTCTCGATGAGCTGAGTTTGGTACTCGCCGATTGCACCGCGAATCTTCGGGCGGACGAGAAGAGCGTTGAACTTCGAGAAGACACGGAACATCTCGTTTGCGTTCTTGGCGGTAGCAAGACGATCACGCAGACGGGCAATGATCGAGTTCTCGACGCGGGAGGTACGTTCATTGTACGCGATCTCCTCCTTGATCCACTGCTGAGTTCCTTCGGGAGAAACATCGAGCACATCCACGTTCCGCAGAGCGGCGTAAGCTTGCGCCACCTCTTCGACTGCGTCGACATCGCCAATTTCCTCAACGATAACGGCCCCGTCAGAACCAGCTCCGGCAGCCGTATCTCCCGCAGACGAAGTCTTCGGGCCAAGGACGTTGACGATCGTTCGCTGCAACTGCTCATGGTTGACCCGGAATGTATTGATATATTTCAATCTTTCCTGCGTCTTCTCATGGCGCGCGGCGATTTTGATGGGAATGAACTTCTCGTTGCGGCGTCTAGTAGACTCTCGGGCGACATTGGTGAACTCCTTGAGGTTTTCGTCCCAAGTCCGCCAAATCGCACCAGCGGTCTTCATAAGGGAACGGAACTCACGGTAGTCCAAGTGCAAAATGGTTCGGCCGTGCAGCAAGGAGTGGATCTGGTTGTCTAGGTCCCCGGAGATGGCTTCCACAAGAGCAAGAGCACGCTTGATCGGGTAGGGACAGATCTTCAACTTTTTGTTGAGATGGTTGAAGATCAAGTTGAGAGACTCTTGCACCTTCTGCAGGGTGGTCGCCGAGAGAAGTTCGTCGAGGGGGAAATCCCGCATGAGCTGATTGTATTTCTGCACAAGATCAGTTGCTTCGCGAAGACCTGTGTCGGCTACGAAACTGAGAGTGGCCTGGTAACGCTTCGCATGTCGGAGAATATCCATTGTCAGCTGGACTCCATCGCCCCTCAACTGGTTCTCAATTCCTTCAAGTGCGGTTTCCATGGACAGCCAGAAGTTGATCTCTTGGGCGGCCGAGTCGCTATCGGCATCGCGGGACATCTTGGTAATCGTCTGGATGGAGCGGATCCAGGCATTCACAGTGTTCTGGATGCTGTTGACAAACGTACTGTTCTCCAGGATGGCGGGGTCAATCAGTTCTACCGAAGGCTTGACTCCGCGCTTTTCTGCATCGACCAGGGCAGCCTGGACCACCTCATGCAGTGGCAGGTTCAACGCCGGGATTTCAACATTTTGCAGCAAATGCCGAAGTCCAAGTTCCAGTTCCGCGAATTTCTTCTTCGTACTAGACACGCCGGTCTTTGCCTCTGTATCTGTCCTGGGCTTTGCGCCACCAGCTGCTTCTTGGCTCCGAGTGTTGGCTTCGAAGTAGGCATTTAGTCCGTGGTGCACCAGCAAGTGTAGAATCTCATATGGCGACTGAGACGCTCCTTGCTGGGATTGGGCATTGCTGAGCGATGCTGGACCAGGGAAGTTCACAACTTGGATCTGCGATGGTATGGGGAGTGATGGGTCAATGGCGGTGGGCCTTTTGATGAAAACTACCGTAGCGACCGTGGTCGAGGAGGACGAGATCTCGGCGGAGAGGTTGTAGACGTATTTGGACGACAGGTCTGGAAGCGTGAGATAATTTTTAGTTAGCACGTCGTAGCTGGTAGCAGGGTATGAGCGAGGGCAACCTACCTTCACCTGTCTCCGTTCCATTTGCTTCTTCGGAGGCCACAACATCCTTCTGTACATAGAGGGCAACTTGCGACTCCGACGCAAATCGCGTACATCGCTGCACGGTCTCATTGTATCTTGCTGGGGAGAGTAAACTGCCGGTGCTTTCAAGCTCACTTCTCAGAGCTCCCAAAGTCACCCGCAGCACTTCGCTCAGGTACTCGATCACCGCATTTGAATCGACCAAAGGTGTTTGCGCTGGCGCAGGGACGCCATTTGACACCTCCGCGTTAGCAACCTCCATAGTTGTAACTCTATGAAAGAGGGCTCGCAGAGCTCATAGAGGCCGACCGAAGGTTGTGACGTGGATTCGCGACAGAATGCTGGTTTGTATGTTGACGGGAAATGGGCGCGGTGTCGGCTTCGAATGGGGAGGATTAACCGGGAGGGTTCAACGGACGGGGGAAAGAGGATGAAGAGAACGGAAGAAAACAAAAGTTGTACAAGATAGAAAGAAAGTAATCTAAAGGTTCATAGTAAAGCTCCGTCTTCGTCTATTCCACCAGTCGAGTTGGGTGGTGGTCAGTTGGGGGACGCGGCAGGCGTGTTTTCTGCTGCTGCTGCGGATGCTGCAGCGAGCCCGAGCGACGGCCCAGAAGAAAGTGGTACACTTCAGGGGGAACTTCCGCTAATCCAGATGGGGCTTAGTGCGTCCCGGACAGCAGCGGGCGGGTCGACGGCGTCCATGGATCTACTCTTAGACTAGATAGACTACCACCTATCTAACTACTGGCATCTACTAATATTCTGGCACAACATCTGAAGAGAGAGGGAAAATGAATATTTCGAATGATATAAAAACTGCCGCTAGCACAATTTCATGGCCCCTTTTACATGTTTCCTGAGTCACGCACCTACCATTTCATCTGCTAATTACCCAGGCTGTTTCACCGCATGTACTAAGCTCCTAGTCCCAATTTCCTTCAGATAGCCGTTCCAATGTCGGGTCTTGCCAAGTCTCCTGACTCTCGACAATCACAGCGATATTTCCTCTGGAAAACTGCTGATGATAGCTCGTCCAGCACGGCGAGTGCCCTCTCACTGGCCTTAACTTTAGCATAGCGACCAGATGATGCTGTACCTTCGGCAATGACAACATCATGCACGATGACGGCCGCTAAAACCCCAGCCGGGGCCCCATCGATGCTGGGCATCTCACCAGCTTTCAGACAATAGTTCATGCAGCCGAATTCATTAGTCAGTCGGTTGTACAAGAAAGTCTAGTTCGGTTCAGCCATCTAGCCCAGATTACAATCAGTCAGGGTCGGCCTTACCGTAGGGTGCTTATTTGCGAAGCTGTCATAAATTGCCATGTCCTCGAAGAATGGTTTGATGTGATCCCGGAAGAACTTCTCAATGACCTCGAAGTTGAAACCGGAGTCAACGAAAACTGCTCCTACATACGCTTCAACCATGTCGGGCAAACACTGGTCATCCACGTTAGCTGCGTTCTGCATTGCAGAAGGGCGGCATTACCTTAGGAGGGTCTTTTGTCACAGTCCAGTAGTCCACCGCGCCCTCACTCTCGCCCTCTGCTGTCTGGATCTCTTCGGCGTACTGAGTGATCTGAGATTGCAAAGGAGCGCTAAAGTACTTTAGATGCGTATGGAGCCCCAGTTTCACGGCTAAAGCACCCAGAAACTTGTTGGACACCATGGCCATCTACAGCAGTATTGTTAATGAATGCTTGGTTACTTATAGGTGTACAGATTTCTTACTTTGTGTTCTGTGAGCCACTGGGGGTCTCGGTCAGGATACCTGGCAAACAAGTCTTCCACGCACACCATGTCAATCAGTGAATCACCAAGAAACTCCAAGCGCTGATAGCAGGGTACTTTAGCCCATGCGGATGGATACGAAGGGTGAGTGAAAGCTGATCCAAGAAGCGTCGGGTAACGGAAGCGGTAGCTCAGCTTCTCTTCGACCTTTCGACAAAGGTGTATCTCGGCACCATCCGCCGCTCGGCGCTGATACTTCGGTATCGTATATAAAGAGATGTAGTCCTTCCATCGCTCAGCCATGTGACTGGGACTGTTCACCAGAGTAGTCACTGCCTTGACAGCCATGTCGAATCGATGTTCAGGACCCCCGGAAAGCAGAGACGCCCCTATCAAAGCTTCGCAAACATCGGCAATTGTTTTCTCTGCAAGGGCATGCTTGCTCTCCGTGGTTGCCTTTCTACTGTGGTCTTTACCTTGTAGTAACTTCAGACCCTCTGGATACCATGTATGTCTTGCCGCAACTGTTAGTCTTCTGGTTCAACCCTCACACACGGCAGAGGAATCCTTACCTCGAAAATCCTCGACTACGAATATACTTATAGATCTCCTTTTTTACGGCTGCATTAAAGAGGTTCTTGTTGCAAATGAGGCACATCCGGTTTACATGATAGTCAAACTCATCATCGTCTGGGTTTTGTGTGAAGAGAGCAATCGAGGTAGCCATCTTCAGGAAACAGTCTCCGAGGAATTCCAGTCGCTCATAATTTCTTCCCATTCCTCGTTGGACATGTATCTGCTGAGCTCGGTGTTCCTCGGTATTATCGGAGTCTTTTGTGAATGCTTCAAGGGCGAGGTCCAGCTTGACGGTGAAATTTAGGCTTTCGCAGCCTTGGAGAGAGATTAGGTATGCATCAATTCTGGAGATGATTGCTGGGAATGCGAGACAGGAGAATGCTGTAGCTGCAGGGATCTTCGCTAGCGCTCAGTGCCTGTTTTCCAATTGATTGAGGATAAACTTACAGCAGATACTTTCAATGGCTCAAGACAAATGAAGCACCTCGTTTCAACTTCTCTCTCGGTGTCTGTCATTCTGTCTAAAAGGTTTCTGCGGAGTCGTACGAGCTCTGCCCTTAAGACAGGTTGGTCCCAGTGACAAGTCGACAGAAATTTAGCCCTGGAGTTCTTGGAGAGGCTCGAGCAGTAATTCATAATATCGGTCATGTGTCTGCGCCGGGCTACAAAGGGTGGTGGAGGAGAAGAGGGAGTCAGACTTTCCTCGATTCCTACTGTGAAGAATCGGCATCTTCCATCCCAGGCATCGAACACAAAGAGATCAACCAAGCTCTCTGGGTGTGTCTCCGTAGAAAATGGAATGCTATCGTTGTCGCGCACATAGTTGAGGCTCTCCCAGTCAAGGATCTGCCTTGGGTCGAATGACGGGATGTATGAGCTTTGAACCCTTACCGGTGCTAGCCAGTAAGCCATCTTTTCGGGCTCGTTATCGTAAGTCTTGTGGAACACGTCACGAAAAACACGAAGAGTAAACACTGTGAGGGCATCAACCTCCTCTTCTGAAAGTAGAATCTGATTTTCCAAGGGAGTCGTGAGTATTGTAGTCTCTATGTCGTCATCGAGGAAGATGGGAAACTGTGGGAAGTGTGGTAGTCTCTCTCGTGTGAACAATAGCAAAGGTCTGGCCTCGTGCAATAGTTGACTGGAGGGCAAGAACGTGATAACGGTGCCATAAAGTTCTTTGGGGGGCATTCCTTGTTTCCGGCCCCATAAAGATGGCTTCGATATCATGTCATACTCGCTGGTGCGCTTCGATGTTATTGCAAGTTTCGCGTTTCGCATTGCCGGAAGGCGGCGATGGTATATTGAATTGAAATGGTCATCGAGCAACTTGTTCTTCCGAAGTAAAAGACATGTATCAAAGGCCGCAGAGCGCTTCGCAATGGACTTCTTCATTGCTGGGCTTCCTGTGAGGCCTCGGATAGGTGACTTTTCCGGTAAAATAACCTCGCAAACAAAGGCACCGTTGATAAGAAGCACTACATAAGTTACTTGAGCCGAAATCTCCTTTTCGTATTGCTACAGACCGCGACTCGTTAGGAATCGACACGTAATCCTAGTTGAATGTCACACATACCAAAGAACTAGCGTACCGAGCAAGTATCGCCGTTGCTGAATGATAGGTTAGCTTAGCACCTGTAGATTTGATTTTGAAAGTCCTGTTGCCCTCGTCTTTCTGTAACACTGTATCAAGGTCGTGGTCAATGCCATATAATAGCCTATCCTCGGGGAGGGTTCTACAAAAGTTTTGCATCATTTTCTGTCATGTTAGTTTGGCATGTTAGTTTGAATACAGCTTCTTGTTCATAGGGACTTACTTCAGCATCTTGAACCTCAAGTAGCCTCTGCTCATGATCCAGGTTTCCTCTTTCGACCATACTCGCATACTGTAATTCCGAACATTAATTCCTGTAACACACATCTAGCATCTGGTCTTACCGTTGAGTTGAAATGCCTCGCCCGCCCACGGCTTTGCACGTATTGGATCAACGTTTGATAAAGATCAAACCTATTTTATCAGGTTAGGCACTCGGGTAGGGAACAGCAGAGTTACCACCATACCTAACGACCAGATTACAATCAGGAATATCCAGACCCTCTTCAGCAACTGATGTAGCGAACTAAGATTTGTTAGCTTTTGATACACTGGAAGACGAATTCGAGTACTTACCAAGCAATTGATCTCGCCGGTCCTAAACTTAACCAAGGAAATAAACTGCTGGCGGAACGTTATGTTCATTCCGGCTAAATCCCCAGACCGGACACCAATAAGCACACCAGGCCGAAGGAAGGGAATATTCAGGGTCTGAAAAAGTTCAGACAGAATCAAAGCAGTGTAGCGCTTCTGCGTGAAAACAATGCATTTTGTCTCCGTCGGTCGTCCAAAATAGTGGGCGAGCTCTTCGCGAAGGACTTGCACTTTGGGGCTAAGTTGGCCAAAGGTCTCAGGACTGCTAAACTCATAGCCCTTCACTATCTCACTGGCTTCCGTTATCCGCAAAATCTCCTTGTAAGCACTTTCGGGCACATCGGATGATATTTCAGAGTTTGCTGTCTTGCGAACATTACCTTCGAGTTTGGGCAATACATCATCTGCTAAAGCACGCGCCCATGCTCGATCTGAACACCATCGGCCTAGCTCAGAGCTGGCCTGCCAAGCAAATCTGAATATACCCTCCAAGCACGCCATGTCTCCAAAACGATCTTCAAGCTGCTTATATAGGCTAGTAGCAAACGGTTGCTCCAACCTGTTGAAGGACCATACTCTTTCCACTGGACGCCTGACCACCTGCCGTAGAAGTGACATGTTGGAAGTCGTAGCTATCCTACTGTCAAGCAACTTCTCAAGTCTCCTATTTTGAATTAGTACTTCATTTGTTACTCCAACTTTCATAACATACGTAGCTTCATCGACTATGTCACCTTTTGTGTCGATCGGTGATGCTGTCATCCCAAATATTCGTGGACGCTTTGAGGGGTCTTCTTCAAGGTAAGATTCACGTATGATGCTGAAGTGTAATTAGCTTTCGTATGTGTTTCATGTCAGATGATACACACCGTGCATAAGGATGATCTTTCTTCGTATGGTGCGCTTCATCGAATATTAGGAGGTTAATTTGGCTCATCTTAACGTAGGAGTTGAGCAGGCACTGGTTCAAAATCTCCGCTGTACAGACGATCACCATGTTCTTTTGGAAGTGCTGCTCCCAAACAGTTTTGCTCCACAGGTCAGTTCCCATAGCCCCAAAGAAATGCCCGACATTCTGATCCAAATTGTTGCGTAGTACCGCGGCCTGTTGGTATGCGAGCGTCACGCTATCTACCTGTTCCTGTATTAGAGCATCTATTCCGGGTCAGAAGATCGCAGAACGTACAAGGAAAAAGGCTATTCGATGTTGCTTCCCCTCCGCGCGATCATTCAATTCCTTTTCCAGTGTATGTTTAAGTAGCAACACTGCGATCAAAGTCTTCCCAGAGCCTACATTATCATTAGCTCGCATCAAGTCAACTCATCTTTGTGTGAGGATAGTACCCGTATCAAGTACAGCAATTGTATTCTGCGCTTTCGCTCTCTCAAATAGTTCCAATTGGTACTCTCTTGGGTCCAGCGTACCAATTCCGAGGTCTTGTTTCGCTACCAAGTGAGCAGTGGAAAGCTGAGCATCTGGCAGGTCATGGGTGAGTTTATTGTCATGAATGGGGCCTGTATCAGCACGCTGTGCAAGACTTGTTGGTTATTAGCGCTCTTGTATGCTCGATTTATGGACTCAAGTACTAACAGGTCTCTGAACTTTGCGTTCTGGGTAATACGTTGCTGTGAAACTCCTGCTTTGCTCTGATCTTCGTGCTCGCCATTGTCGGATTCATCCGATGATCTGTCATCTTCCTGTGGTATATCCTCAGTCATAGTCACGGCGCGCCCTTGTATTGTTTCCACGGATAGATTCTGATCGGGCCCATGAAGATCGGAATTTACTCCCATATTGGAAGCGTGAGCTGATGGCATTGTGGTCTTATCCTACGGTTAGTTCTGAAGCAGTAAACTGCTCAATGCTGAATCAATAATCGAAGATGCGAGGTTACTGTGTTTCCCATTAAAAGAAGTAAGTGAAGATGATAAGTTAAAAAAGATGTGAATATGTCACCGGGAGCAGTCACTGGCAGCCGGTGGTCGTGTCACAAACGGAGACAAACAGCGGAAGATGGAGACCGGCTATTGCTTTCATCCCTGTTAGTTGGTCAAGGTTGATGTGTGTGACAGCTAATAGGTGAAGAATTATTCAGTGCTGGTAGTTATGGAAGCTATCAAGCAACGAGATGCTTCATCAAGGTACTTCCATAGGAGTACTGGGCGTATAAGTTCCCAAGACAGGTCACTATATATAGTACTTCAGAGAAGGGAAGCACCGCGGGGCAAAGGCTATATACGCGGGTCAATCCATGCATGGATTTTTCCAGATATTGCTTAGTCCTTTTACGTTGCTTCCCTGATTCAAGTAGATATTTCTCGCAATAGTGTAAATAATCCAGGCATTTCGTAAGTAATCATCCTCTTACCGATAAAGGATGAACCATGCATTATGCTGCGCATAATTCACGTGACCTTTATTATGCCGTGCTTAGCTTAGTGAGGTGGATACCGTTCAGTAATTAATGTAAGAAAGAAACGCCGGTGTATGAAACAGCCCTCATATCTGCCGATCGGCAGTCATTCTCCAGCGGAGCTTTTGAATTCATACAACATTACCCCTCACCATCCCGTGAAGCAGCGCAATGGAACAGCCGCAAAATCTACGATCCCTTTTTGCGGAAGCGAAAGCTGAAAAGTCTGCTTTAGAAGCCCGCCCCGACAGCAACACGGATGCATACCGCAGTGATGTCAACGCAACAATAGCCAAGCTTGAGGAATGCCAGCGGCAAGTGGGCTTGCTATCTCTGTTCAGCTCGAACGAACCTTTGGAGGACATCTCCACGACAGATATCCAGTATAGCCATGACATACCTAGCGGAGCTGCCTGAGGATGCGCTAATTTCTTGCCTACCTCCAGATACCTTACGGTAGAGTATCATCTTGCAGATCTTCTCCAAAGAACCTACAGCTCGGACCGCGAAGCTCTCCTCCGACGTGCGCTTGGGCAATATGAACGCTTCCTCGCCCGACTAGACGATTACGACGTCCTTAATGAGAAGGACAAGAAGCTTTATGAACGTTACACCTCGAACCCCACCTCTTTTTCCCTGACTACAACCAATGATGCTGCGACCCGCCGAGAAGTGAAGATAAACAGGTTCAAGGAGGAGAAGGAGCTGAAGCAGAAATTAGAGGTTGGATAGGCTTTGCTCACTCTATGTTACCGAGCGATCTACTTACACTCTCTCAAGTATTTTGCGAATAACCAAAGCCGGCTGCAAAGCGACGAGGAGGATGTCCGGAAACTCTACCTCGCCGAGATCAACCTCTACATCCACCAGTCATTCCAGTCCTTGGATCTGCTGTCGCAAGAACTGACTATGCTGTCAACCATCCGCAGTGCTCCGCCAAACCCCGCTGAGTCATTGCAGGATGATCCACGTCGGCGGAATCAGGCAAGCGAGTCGAGCTACTCCGAGCGGCTAGATCGTCCGATTGCCGAACTGCTGAGAGGAGGGAAGTTCGGACCTATCCTGAGTAAGGAGGGGAAGCCTATGCAGCCATTCACGTTGCTTGATCGCAGGACGCAGCTCCAGCAAGGGGTTTTCCGATCGGGACATAATCTACCCACTATGACGATTGATGAATATCTTGAAGAGGAGAAAAGGAGGGGTAATGTCATCGAAGGCGGGGGAGAAAAGTCAGGCATAAAGCCTGAGGTCGACGAAGATGACATGGATTTGGCTGATGAAGAAACAATGAAGGCCAGAGCTTGGGACGAGTATAAAGAGGCGAATCCAAGAGGCTCTGGCAATACATTGAATCGGGGTTGATGTGCATGAAATATATATATATATATATATGTCTCTGACGGCTGATTGGCCATTCAAGTTGGCCAATATCATGATACGAGTAACAAATGATAGAATAGTACTGCACACCCTGTCATGAATCTTCCAGAAAGCCTACTGGTACTCAGCAACGTACTTGTAATGGAGAAGTTTCAGCAGACACGCAACATTCTTTCTTTTTCATATGGGTATCCATCTATATATGTCCATTGTATCATCATATCTCCCGTGAAGGAGAAGACCAGCATCTCCACCACATAGACTTTCCAGCTTCTATCTAAGCAGTCTGCTTGTTGCGCTGGATTTCCTCCAAGATCTTGCCGGCGCCCTTCTCGACCAACGCCTTAGCCACGGTAACACCGAACTCCTCCGCAGCCTGAGGCGAATCAACAGCACCATCGATCTCAACCTCAGCGCTCTCCTTACCATCCACACTAACCACAATGGAGCGCATCCTCAAAGCACCATTGACCCATTCGGACTCGACACCCAACGGCGCACTGCATCCACCCTCAAGAGTACGCAGAAGGCTGCGCTCTGCCAAACTAGCAAAAGTGGTCTCCTTATGACCGATGTTCTGTAGCATGTCCAGCACCTGCTGGTCATCCTTCCGGATCTCAATGCCGAGAGCACCCTGACCGACAGCATAGAGCATTCCCCCGTTCTTAGAGTCCAGATAGCTGGTGATACGATCGCCCAGCTCCAATCTCAGCAAGCCAGCAGCAGCCAGGATGAGACACGTGAATGGGCCATCCTCTGCATCCAGCTTCGACAACCGAGTGCCAATGTTACCACGCACATCCATGACCTTCAGGTGGGGGTAGCGACGGGCGAGTTGGGCGGTACGACGGATGGAGGAGGTACCGACAACGGAGCCTTCGGGCAGCTCGGCCAGACTTTTGTATGAAAGGCCCTTCTTCATGACCAGGACGTCTCTTGTGTCTTCGCGCTTCATCATGGGGCCGAGGGTGCAGGAGGAGGGAAGGAGAGTCGGCACATCTGCAATGATAGAGATAAGTCAGTGTTCATTTCTTAGGGCGAGATAAAGAATGAGCGGATATGTACCCTTGAGAGAGTGCACAATAAAGTCAACCTGGCCAGCAATCAGAAGGTCCTCCAGTTCCTGGGTCCACAGGTTCTTGGTCGTAAAGTCACGGAGCGCAATGGTCGTGTTCTGGTCGCCGGCGGTCTCTCGGGAATGGATCTTGAATTCATAGTCGGGCCATGTTTGCTTGAGCGCCGCTTGAACCAGATCCGTTTGAAGCAGAGCAAGCTTGGACTTGCGCGTGCCAATGGTGAAGGTCTTGCGCGATGAGGGGTTGGTGGCGTGGGGCGGGGCAGAAGCCATTGCGACGATGGTTGGTGTATGCAGGGAGCGATTGGGTTTCTAGGGAGAGAGTTGAACTGAGGTATATCTTGCCGTGATCTAGGCGAAGAATATTGCGGGCGTCGAAGTACTAAACAGAAGAGTGGGCTGCACGGCTCTCAAGCATTGAGGGGAAATGTTTCAGAGACAATCTTGACATTTGACGCTGGGTATTTTACTCGTATTTTGCGTTTGTCATACGACTCGGCCCAGCCCCCGACGGTAATTATACATCCGGGTAATGTTACCGGATGAGGAGACACCGCCTTTCTTCGCGGGTCTCGTGCTTCTGGGGCATCGAGTGCCACATCACGCTGATTAGATCCGGTCAATGTACTTTCCCTCGGAGTTTCAGTAAAGAAGATACATAGTAGATTGGTCACAATGTCTTCAGGGACTCACAGCCTGCCATGGCATGTTCTGGAAGAGCGGAAGCTGTGCTGCAGGACTCCGGTTTCCGCAGACGGGGGGATGATTGACGTTGCCCCGTGCGAACCTCGGCATCGGAGAGAAGGGCGCTTATCGGATTGGATCTCCTCCCCAGAGTCACGCCTTCATCTATCGACGGGGTTCTGGAACAGTGGAACCTCACCTCTACTAGTTGCCTTATAACCCGACCGCCACGACAGCCCCGTGCGCTGTCGACCTGATCTACCATCGTTCCCCCAGACGACACCAACCTTTCATTTCACCTCTCCATCAACTTTAATCTTGTCATCGCCACTGAGTGTGTGCCTTTGTGTTCTGGCATACCGAGATGGGTTCCAACAGCGGCAGAACAACCAAGCTCCCCTTGGTTCCGCTGCCCAAAGGATCGGTCCTACTTCCTGGCATTACGCTACGGATTCCTGTTTCGAATCGCCCGGATCTCGCCAATTTACTTTCGACAATCGTTGATCGATCGGCCGTGGCGAAGCGCGATGGAACGGCTATCACCTTCGGATGCGTTCCCCTCAGCTCACCTTATCTGAGCAAGGACGGTCAGCGACTCATCGATGACGGAAGCTTGGATGAAGACCGGAGGGAGGAGTTTGAGATGATTGATGCTGGACAAGCCAGAAAGGAGGATCTGTTTCGTCATGGTACCGTTGGTAAAGTAATTGGTATCCAGCGCCGTGCCTATTCGGAGCCGGCTCTCGTGGTCCAGGGTGTCCAGCGGTTCACTGTTAGGCGCGTCCTGAAGGAAAGGCCGTACTTCGAGGCTGAAGCTATTGTTCATGATGAGAAAGGTCGGTTTTCTTTCGTTGCTCTGCGCTGTTGTTGCTACTTCTTATCTGGACGAGTGTCTAATCTGGTCATTTCTAGAAACAGTCTCCGGCGATGCTGAAACAGTAGAGTTATTCCAACAGCTGCGACAACTATCTCGCGAGCTCCTGACCTTGCTGCGATTGTCTTCCTTACTACCATCTCCTGGAAGCCGCCTTTCGCCACTCATTGCCCGGAAGTTCGAACTGTTCATTACCAAGTCTGATGTCTCCCATGCGGGTAGACTGGCCGATTTTATGGCGGACGTCGCCGACTCCGGCTTCGAAGAAAAGCTTCGGATCTTAGCATCGCTTGACGTCAAGATCAGACTAGAGAGAGTTGTTGAGATGCTAACTAGGCAATTACAGAGCATCAAGAGCAATGTGAAGGTCACTACAATCACTACCAACAGCTTTCCTAGCTCTGGGTTCGACATTAACCAGATCGATCCTCGTGACCGTGAGATCCTGGCAAGGAAGGCGATGGCTGGTCTTAGCGGACTGACGCCACCCGGGTTGTCAGCCGGTCGAAACAATGACAACGATGACAAGGAATCAAACGAGGTCGATGAGCTGCAGCAGAGGTTGCAAGAGGCCCAGCTCAGCCCTGAGGCGAGAAAGGTTGCGGACAAGGAGCTGCGACGTCTTCGTAAGATGAACCCGGCAAATGCTGAGTACGGTGTCTGCCGGACCTACCTCGAAAATATCGCGGATATCCCATGGACTAAGATGACCGAGGACCAGCTTGGACCGGAGACTTTGAAGAGAGCCAGGAAGCAGCTAGACGATGATCACTATGGATTGGAAAAGATCAAGAAGAGGCTTCTTGAGTACTTGGCCGTGCTCCGACTCAAGCAGTCTACCAACAGAGATGTTGAGCGCCAAATTGAGACCTTGTCGAAAGAGCTTGAGGCATCCGATGGAGGCGACCTCGAGAAGGAGGTACCTGTGTTGTCCGAGACGGATCGAGTCGCTGTTGAGACCAAGCTGCATATGCTGAAGACTCGTCGCATGGGCGACAAGTCGCCCATCCTCCTGCTTGTTGGTCCACCAGGCGTTGGTAAGACCAGCTTGGCGCGATCAGTGGCCTCATCGCTCGGTCGCAAGTTTCACAGGATCTCTCTGGGTGGCGTTAGAGATGAGGCTGAAATCCGAGGCCATCGCCGGACCTACGTTGCTGCGATGCCGGGACTGATTGTCAGTGGTCTCAAGAAGGTCGGCGTTGCCAACCCAGTGTTCTTGCTCGACGAGATTGACAAGGTCGGAGGCGCCAATTTCCAAGGAGACCCATCAGCAGCCATGCTCGAGGTCCTGGATCCTGAGCAGAACCATACATTCTCAGATCACTATATCAACATCCCTATTGACCTGAGCAAGGTACTCTTCATTGCCACTGCTAACTCTTTGGACACTATCCCGGCACCCCTACTCGACCGGATGGAAACCATATCTCTGTCCGGCTACACTACGGTTGAGAAGCGACACATTGCCAAGAGACACCTCATTCCCAAGCAGATCAGAGCGAATGGGCTTTCGGATGGCCAGGTCGTTTTGTCTGACGAGGTGATTGACAAAGTCATCACGTCCTACACCAGAGAGTCGGGTGTTCGTAACCTAGAGCGTGAGCTTGGCTCGGTCTGTCGATACAAGGCCGTCCAGTTTGCGGATGCGGGCGATGCAGGCCGACTTGATGCGTACAACCCCATGGTGAGCATGGACGAGTTGGAAGATATACTAGGTATCGAGCGCTTTGAGGAAGAAATCGCCGAAAAGCATGGTCGTCCCGGTGTTGTCACTGGACTTGTCGCATACTCCACTGGAGGTCAAGGCAGCATCCTGTTCATCGAGGTTGCAGACATGCCAGGCAACGGCCGGGTCCAGCTCACCGGAAAGCTGGGAGACGTGCTAAAGGAGAGCGTGGAGGTGGCTCTGACATGGGTGAAAGCCCATGCCTTTGAGCTTGGACTGACTGCGGATCCCACCGAGGATATCATGAAGAACCGCAGCCTGCACGTCCACTGCCCGTCCGGGGCCATCCCGAAGGATGGCCCCTCGGCAGGCCTGGCACACACGATGGGTCTCATCTCCCTATTCACCGGCAAGGCAGTACCTCCCAGTGTTGCCATGACTGGCGAAGTGTCGCTCCGCGGCAAGGTGATGCCTGTTGGCGGCATCAAGGAGAAGCTGATCGGTGCGCACCGCGCCGGCGTCAAGACCGTTCTCTTGCCCCATCACAACCGCAAGGATGTCAAAGACGTGCCGCAGGAGGTCAGCGAAGGACTTGAAATTGTTTATGTAACGTGAGTATCTCAATCATCCATACTTGCTGCTGCAGATTGCTAACATCTGACAGACATATTTGGGAAGCTATCCGACAGGTGTGGCCAGATGCCCACTGGCCTGGTCAGC